ATTCTCGCTGAATTACCGGAAGACTGCTGAGGACCGGGCTGATTTGGTTACCTATACACGTGCCCCGGTGTTGCCTGAACAATAAGCCCAGAGTGGTGAACACTCCTGCTTGGAAAGAGGTCTGTACAATTGCAGTCAGGTCCGAAACATGAAGAAACCTTATATGTTTGGCTCCCTTTGCCATGGATTTGCCAGGCCAAGCAGACTCACAATTGGGTTGCTTTTTCAGGGATACCGTAATGTGTGGAGGGTACTCCTGATCTTGATACAGCTGTACAAGCATCGACAACGAATCCAGGATTTGCTGTCTGGGCACAGAGTTGAAAAATCCAACGAGATCATCATTAATTTCAGCGAGATGCACCATAGACGGGGTGCGGCGGAGAAATTGATGCAACTGCTTCCAAAGTTGGGGAGTGGTTGCTAGGCCCATTGCTTCAGGCCAAACCAAGCGAACCATCAAAAGAATCGCTTGTGCAGCTGCGATCAACAACTTCTTGATACAGCTGTTGGAGTACGATATTATCGTCCTCCCTTTCAAAAATTCTTTCTTGCGTTTGAGAAAGACGAAGCCAACAGGCAAGGTGCCGGAAGCATTGATTCCCCATCTATATCGTCGTTTCAATATGCCGGGAATCTGTTGAAAAACTCTCTGGTTCCAGAGTTCTTGGGAGCCTTCCACAGGCTCGAAAACATCTGGATCCTGCCAGGTCTTCGTGGCAGCTTGAAGGTAGAATTTGGGACAGAAGACCATAAGATGGTTCGGCTCATGGTCTTCGCAATGAACAATGAACTGTCGGTGCAGTAAATCGCGAGCAGCAGAAACATCTCTCCATGTGAGCCGGTTTTCTTGGCCCAGGTGATCGAGGTGTTTGCTCCATTGTTGCTCGAGAAATTGCTGAAACGCTAATTCAACACCCTTAGGAAGACAATGCTTGCGCCGCCAAGATGCAAACAAACGGGTGTTGTGATTGAAAAATTCTCTTTTGGAAGGAAAAAAGGCTGAAGATGCACTACCACTCCCTAGTTTTTCAAAGGAGCGGTGAAGGCTGCCAAGTTGTTCTATGCCTGCTACAACATGGCCTCGAGTGAGGCACTGTTCCGGCAGCAGTTTGGCATAGTAAGTACAAGGGCATGGTGCTTCATCAACAGAATGATGCTGTAACCAATGGTCCCAGTCTTTGAAATTGTGCATGAAGTCCTTGAGAGACTGATGAGGTTGCTCTCTGACTTTGCAAACTGGGAGGTGAAAAGGTATAAGGATCGGCTTGTGTGCCAATACAAGCTTTCGGATCCATCTGGAAACATCTGACCCAAAGCTTGGGGATGCAGTGAATTTCAACTGCAAGCCCAGTGTTGCCAGTGGCCAGGACATGTTTCGGAATTGGCACACACTTTTGAGCACCTTCCTAGCTTTGCTTTTGCCAGGTTCTTCTAGGCAGTTGCTCAAGCGAATCAAAGAGTAAATCTCATCTGGAAGGTATCGGTCGCTTCGCAGCTTTTTTGCCTCTTCAAAGGGGGCACGGCTGAAGCATGTAAGATTGAATAGTATCTCCCATGCCGACCTTCTCTTGAGTTGAAAAGGAACGGGCTGAAGTTGTCTGTGGAGCTTCTTTCGGAGTTTTCTCCACAGTCTTAACCCGAACCTAGAAGACACACTGTGTCGAACCCTCTTGTTGGGTCTAAAGCCCAATGCACTCCTTTTCAGGAAGGAGGTAATGTACGGGTGATTGAGCTTGGGTTGCCACATCCCAATCAAACAGTGCTCGGTAACCCATGCTTCCTTATAAGTTGAGCATGGAAAAACGAGAAACAAAGTGTACTGCTCAAGACACTGATTGGACACCCAGTATCGGATGGCTAGCTCGGCCTGAGCTTCACCCCCGTTTGCCAGCTTCCTGGCAACTGAGAATCTGTTGGACTCTCTTCGGAAAACAGATTGGCTGGTAGAGCCTATGTACATGAATGTGGAAGGCTGCCTGTAATGTTCAATGCTTGAAAAATGGCGCCAATCCACTGCTGTTTTCATGTACACCGCATTTTGTGATTGAAATCTGGGCCACGTGTAGGTGGCTGGGTGTACCCGGAACTGCTGAAGCTTCTGTCGAATGGTCTCAGCATACGAAGACGGAGATCCTTCTTGAAAGTAAAATAGCAACAGAAGATGAAGCAGGCCTTGGGCCCACAATGCAGACTCTTTGTTGAAGCCCGGACAGTGGTGTAAAAAGAACGTCACAGCCTCTCCCAACATACAAATTTGCTGCTTGATTCCTTGTTTGCTTGAAGCAGCAAGATGTTGGCATTGAACTGCTAGTCAAGCAGTTTGAAATTGTGCAACCGCAATCACAGTAGACAAATTCTTGATAGACAGTCTGGATGCCAACTTTGGATCCAGACCAAACTCTTTGGCAGCTGCAACCAGTTGATCTTTAGATGCTTCAGTTTTGAGAAGCTTCTGGACAGTCTGTACATGCTTAACCAGCATTTGATACTTGCCTTTAAACTCTGGCTTGTTCTTGTAAGTGGCTAGCCATTCAGTGACATGGTCATCTGTGGCTCCTTTGGGACGAGTATCCAGCTTTCGTTGCGGATCTTTAAGGAGCTGTTCAGCTTCCACTTGGGATTCCGGCTCAGCAATGGGCATGGCAGGCTTTGCCCGTCGTCCTGAGTCAGGCTCAGGATCCTCAGTCGCCTTCCTTTTCAGAGGGGACATTGCAATGCCATGCGCAGCCAGTTTGGCTTTAGCTTTGGCAAGTTCTTCGGAAGCATCTGGATTTGTTGGAGGCGCTTTGGCCAAAACGCAATTCAAAAGTTCTTGAGCAAGCGGTTCCATGAATCGCATTGCTTCCTTGTGCTTGTCTGGTGGAGCCGAAGTATGGCATGCTTTTGCTGCCTCATCGATAGAAACACCACTTTCACGAAGCTTCTTCAACAGTGCTGTGATGAGCACCGATTCTTGGCCGCTTCGAGCCCAGACGATACTCTGGTGCCGTCCTTCTGACAACAATCGAAATGAGAAATCTCCAAGGCCTCGATGGGCAAGCTCAAAGGCACGGATGTCGCTGACATCACGGCCGGCCAGCCCAGCTTTGCGAGACCACTCTGTGGGTTGAACCAACTTATGCAGCACATGAGCACCTTTGCCCAAAGGGGTCTTGTCATAGTGCTGGTCATCAGAAACAAAAGAAGACGGCAAAGAAAAAGTTTGATACGTGGGGCTGGCTACACATTCCCACGACTTGTCTGAGTATTTGGAGTCCCATTTCTCTTCTTTGCTCCATCGATTCCATTGCTGTCGGTTGTCCCAGCTGCTGCTGGAGTCGCTGTTAGACCATGATGACCAGGAGGCCATGGCGAGATCAGTTGTCCAGGGGAGAACAGTTGCTTGATCAGACTGACGGCTGTTTTGGGAACGAAAGGGCATCAGTCCTGTCTGCAACTGGGCAATCAAGCCCTAAACTGCATGTGATTGCTCCGTAGAGCATTTTCGATCTCTAGAGACCAAGAGGTCTTGTTTTGTCATTAAGCCGATCAGGGCTTGGACCGATCAGGGTCTTGTGGTTATGACTGGGCCGATCAGGGCCAGGCAGTAGGCTACCCTACCGTAGACGACACGATCGACGAAAGCCGTCTAGAGCACACTCGTGCAATCCTCCCTCTGGACTAATATAAATCTCAAGAATTGCATTCGTATCATTCAGAGGTGTAGGACTCTAAGAGGATTTAGGCTTTACCTCTGGCCTGAATCAAAACTGCACTCATATGGGGTTTATGGCTTGGCCCCAGTGCCATTCCAATGCAGGTACACAATCTGGCGTCCCAGATTGCATCACAGCACTTCTATCACCGTCTTCGTTGGGCAGTGGATGATAGAAGGCTCACTGCCCCCCTGCAATCTTAATGCAATTCAGCAAACCTTGGCAAACAGGTGTTCCACCCACACACACACACACACACACACACACACACACACACACACACACACGCACAGGACTTTGTTGGGCTTAGACATGCGGAGACATCTTAGGGTCGGAGGGACGGAGAGAGAGAGAGAGAGAGAGAGAGCGCGCGACGCATAAATATTTAAATAAATATATACATACATACATATATATATATACATGTATATATATATATATATATATATTTATGCATATACACCCGTAACCGTATGATTGAACGGAAGGCAAAGAGGAAGAGCGAGAGCAAACAAAGCTGCACAAAGGCATCCGGGAGCAGCTCTGGCTTTTCCGGCATGTTTTCGGCATTGATTGCCACTCAGCCGCATAACAACTCTTCATACATTGCAGCGGGCATTCTGGAACTTGCGGCTGACTCCTGTTATCAGCGGGCAGTAACACAGGGGTCTGAAAAGTTGGTGTAGTAGGAATGTCCGTTTGATTTTCTACTGTGGTTAAAGTAAGCCATATACTTGTACCCCACAACCTTGTTGTGATCATTTCGGGCCTCAGCCTGCTTGCAGGCCGCTGTTGCCGCTTGCTGCTGTTGCTGCTGCTGCGCTGCCGCAGCGTGGCAGATGTCGAGGCCCGCCTGTGCAACGCGGATGCCTGAAGTTTCCGGATCCTGCACTTACAACCACCATCGAAATCATAACGAAGATCTTCCAGCAGAAGATATTAGGGCAAGTCGTGGCGAGGTCGTTGCAAAGGAGGAGCAATGCAGAACCTTAGACAGTCAGCCAGCAGACCTTGGCGAGACCCATGGGAGCGCAGGGAGACCAGTAGCAGCAGTCCCAGCGTTCTTTGTTGAATATAACTGTATAGTATAGGCTGTATAGGTGTAATATTATAGATACTTTTTTTACAACACCCCATGATGACGGTTATCTACAGACTACTTCTGTCGATCCCGGTCGACAGGCAAATAGATGAGATGTGGAAATCGATCTGAAGACGCATAGAGAGACCGACGACATGCGTATATGTGTTTAAAGATGCAGAAGCGATTCGTGAGTGTAGGTTCGCAACATCAGAGTCTCGATGCTCACTGGCATCGGCAGGAAACGCACCGACTTTGAGTCGGGGACATCATCGGAGTCTGAGTCAGATGGCTACCCGGCCCCTGGACAGGTGCCTGGACGTATAGGATTTCGATTCTGGTCTCATTCATGTGACGCCAGGTACCTGGACCTGTGTCAAGTTTCAGCATGATTGTGCCCGGTTGTTTTTTGATGTTGTCCAGTGGGACTTTTGGGAGTGGAGTGCTGGAAACGCTCGTTTCAGGCCTTGGGCTAGCAATCGGCATGATGCGGCCTTATCGGATGGTCGCTTAGTTCCTTTTCCTGTGCTAGAAGTAGATATATAGGCCTAAATAATTCCCAATGCTATGATTTGTTGGGGGGCACCCATATTATAGCCATTGCACAATATACCCAAAACCCGACATATGATAAGCACGTGGGAGCTCCTCGCTTCTATTCTTATTGGACATCCGCTGTGAGCAAATTTTTGCAAAATGCAACACTAAGTGCAATGAACGTCAAAACTAAACGAGTGCAAACAGTCATGAAATTCATGAAGAAGGGTGCAACGCCGCAACATCGTTTCCCGCACCAAATTCAGCAGAGTCTGAAGCTTTGAGCATTTTCCCGAAGTCCCTGCGACTTCTTCGTCAGATGGCCTATGCCCGCCCGATGCAACCGCCGGTGCCAGGCCCCCTAACTTGCTGTTGCTTGGTAGGGATGACCCAAACTCTGAGTTTTGTAATGTCCATACCACTCATGACGTTTGGTTTCAGTGCCAGGGTTTGCTAAGCTCAGAAAACGTAGGTTTTGTGAGTTCGAATTTGCCATTCGGACTCGACGTTCGTTTTCAGTTCGGGTGCTGCAGGCTGGGGTGACGAGGGTTTCGGATTGCAGCTAGGTCCAGGGGTCACATGATGTAGGACATTGCGGCCAAAGGAGAAAGTAAGCAAAGTGAGCCTAACCTCTGCACTGCGCACCCTCAGCTACTTGTAGGGATCCCTTCTCCTTTCATGCTCGGGTCAGCACGCAGGACAAGGCCAAAATCCGTACTGGCAGGGATCCGCGCCGCAAGGACTGGAAAGTGAGCATGTAGCGAGAGCACTGCTACGCGACGACGACGACGACGACGTTTCACCACAAGCTGATCGCAGTGGTGAGGTGTTGATGGCTTAGCTACGTAGTTTATGGACAAATTGCCATGCCCTTGTGTAAGCAGCCCCCTTAGCGCCTACTTTGAAGGTCGTCAGCATCCTCATCATCCTCGTCATCATCATTGTGGTCAACATAAACACCGGCATGATGATAAGAATATTATTGTTTTGTTGTTCTTCGCCATCAACATTATCATCTACACCACCACCAACATATGATCATCATCATAACCAGAATAGGACCATCAACGTCAGCTTTCGCATTATCAACCTCATCACCATCAGTTCCATGTCATCCGTGAACACATCGTGGAGCTTTCAGCAACGCAAGCAGATGAAAAAGGTACTTCGTCCCCCCTCCCCACCCAGCCCTTCCTCCCATCCCCCCCACCCTAACCTTCCCCCATGCCCAATGCTGATGTTGTTGTTGCTGATGCTGCTGAAGATGAAGAAGATGATGTTGATGATTCGCTTGGTTATGGTGATGATTGGAGGTACGATGATGATGGTGGTGATGCTGGTGATGGTGATGGGGGTGATGGTGGCGATGTTGATGGTAATCGTGACGGCGGCGACAGTGGGATGCTGCTGCTGCTGCTGATGATGTTGATGATGATGTTGATGTGGTGTTCGATGATGTTGACTGTAGGTTTTCTGAAGATACTGTCGATCATGACAGTAAGCGCATGAAGAGTCGTGTTTGCGAGCAGCGTGTCCGAGATCAGGCTTTCGGATGCGAAGCTTCTTGTCCCCTGAAGCAGCGATTCAACTGTACTTTGCGTGGGATTCTGCTTGTGCCCTTTTGCGCTGGTATAGGCGCCGGGGCGGAGAGCGTTTCAAACGGGATTAAAGCTCTTGGCATGCGGGGGCAGAGTGGAGGAGTGTTTGCTCTGTAGCTCGCGGAGCCTGGGAAGCGAGTTGACACACGCCGACATCATGTAGAACTAGCCAGCATTAATTAAATGAGTACAAAGTTGGCCCTAATGGTCCAACAAGTGAGACGGCACACCTTCCGAGATCCGTGTCTCACAAGATATATGCTGCCCATGTTAGACCCAACCTCTGCTTTCAAACACTTCCTGCGATCCCAAGCCTTGTCACCTTGCCGATAGCGAAGTGAGGACCGCCGCAGCCAGCACCCTACGCTGGCGCCGCATACGCGACTGGGGCGCCCTATCTGGCCACCTCCTTCGTACAGGGCAGCCCGCTGCTTCGGTCTGTTTATCTTTGTTTTGAGAAAATGTTTCAGGTTTTACTGAGATCGGCTTCCGACTTCCTGACAGCCAACGCCATGTGCCATGTAAGTCCCTGAACACTGTAACCCCGCAAGATTCTGCAGAGATCCTTGAAAAAGCCCGAAACATGGCCCCTCCCTAGCTTTTCGTATCCCCATGCTCGTCTCAGCCAGGCAGGCCTACCCACAACCCTTCCAGTCTGGCGAGGGCTTTGCTTGGGCTGGCTTCGGCAGCGGCGGCTTCATGGACCCGGGTTGAGGGCCTTAGGCTGCCAGAGCTTCGGACTGACGTGACCAACGCAAGGAAGGAGAGGAATGAATAAGGATACACAGAGGGAGCGAGCGAGAGAGAGAGAGAGAGAGAGAGAGAAGATCCTCTACGATCCGGATTATTGCTGCTTTCTGGCTCCGGATTCCTATTTCCCCTGTCGCATGGTCTGCCGCCCCTCTTCAACCTATTCTAGCTAGTGACGAGCTAGTGCATTTACAGCTCTTCTGAGGCCTCAGAGATCCCAGTTTGGTACTATGGTCTGATCTTTTTGGGACATTTGGATTGTTTGCCTTGGTGGCCCCTAGCAGGATACTGCCGCCCCAAGCGGTGCCAGTTGGGCAAGTGCCACTTGGCTGGTCTTTCTCGCTCTTCTCGTATGGACAAGGGAATCCTAACTTCTGGCTGACGTCAGCGATCTGACCCGACCCCTTGAACGTGCAGCTGGCTAGAAGTGAGGAGGAATATGTGCCGCACGACTAGTGGACATGAGGCAACATGAGGCAACATGCGTTACAGACCGTATTAGGTCTGCCGACAGCATCCTGTGAACGTGAATGGCTCAACCATGATGGTGGACGGCGCCTGGGGCGACTCTCAGACTGCATCAGCCGAAACCAGCCAAGTGCTCGTGCAACCGCGCGCGACGGCTTTCTATCAGGTGTTGCGCGAAGGAATAGGCCAGTCGTTCGTGATCCCAGCGCTTTGCTCGTCGGACATGGGTTTTCACAGATCAGCGGCAGCGAAAAACCTCCTCAGCCAGATAATTAGGAGGGACAGTGCCAGCATTTACTTGATCAGCGGCCTCATGGGCTCTTTCTATGTAATGTAGGGCTTTCTACCCGGTGTTAGAAGATTCACAACGAGGACGTGCGAACTGTAGTAAATAAACATCACAGCGATCCCGATGCAAACGTGATGGTATGTATCTCAATAGGCTTCCCTGTTAGCGCGGCTTCATTTTGCATGCCCAATGTGCACGCTAGGTTTTGCTTCTTCAGGAATGTTTGGCTTGGGCCGTGGTGTATGAACACCAGAACCCCGGCTGGGAGTCCGACCCTCGGCCCCTCGTCTTGCAGGGAGAGGAAGGGCTCACATTTTTTGAGCGATCGCCTTAACCTTGCTGTGTTGCGGCTCCGGTCTGTGTTGCTGCTGTTTTATGCTACACTCACGACTGCGGAGGCAGACTACTTACTAATGGAACGAGTGGGATCTCACCTGATAGGCACGCTGTTGCCTGCAAAGACTTAACTCTGGCGGTGAAAAGTTGAACTTAAAAGACCACCCCGAAACTGGAGAACATGGAAATGTTGTGTCAAGCTTTGCTTTGCTGTACTTCCTTGGCTGCATGCTGTCATTCCCGGTATGGTGTCCTCAGAGCAGGAGGACTAAAGGATCGAAGTTCGCATGATGTCTCGGTTCCGCTGGCACGAACTCATATGTACATTTTAGAAACACAGCGCCGAGGTTCAAGGACGAAGGACCTGCCCAACAAGTCATCAATGCCATGCTCGAGACTGCGCCAGAAAGCATGGCCCGTTCGATTGAGTTCGGAAGCCAGACTCTTGGCGAGGTTTTGGGTTGAGAGTGTACCTCTCCTCGGGTGTTGTGAAAGTGTCAGTCCTGCGACGTTCAATTACTGTTGTTTTGTTTGTGTTCAGGACGGAGGAGCTCTAATCAGTAGCAGCAGCAGTAGCTGCTGCAGCTGCTCGTGTCAGTGGCACGACAAGGTAATGGTTCTGCTTACGATCCATTTTCATGTTGGCAATGTTCATGACCGATTACTATCCCGAGAATGGTCCCGCGTCCCACTTATATAGTAGGTCAGAATATGAGGTATCACATGCATGCAAGTGCATCCATGTTGGTACTGAAGTAGCATGGCTGACGTCGGACGCAAAACGATGCTGCGATGGAAACATTGTCGCGATTGTCTGGCCAGTTTTATTCAGCATCCAATTTTCAAGTTCAGCTCCTTGATGTCAGTCTTGCTTTCGTTCATAACACATGCCTATATGACAGAAGCATGAGTGAAGTTTATATATCAGCACCGCAAATCACAAGCCGTGAATCTTCGAGGAACTTGGAGGAAGCTTGCCACGGCGCGGTGCGCAACGGCCTGCCCGTACCAGTGATCAATCAGGTGGTTCGGTGAGAAAGGGGAGTCATAAATGTAGGAAGATCGAAGACCCCATTCTTCAGCAGCACCCATGAACCATGGCCTGCCTTGATTGGCCTTCATCGGTCGTGGACAAACCTGCTTTAAGTGAAGCAGGGCAGGTTTGCTTCGGGGTGCGAATTCGTAGATAGTTACTGAGGTCTAGGGCTAAAGGGTTTCAGGGATACAGGGTTTGGGGAATCTGACATGTTATTCAGTCCATTAGCCAATCTTTTGACTTCTGCCGCGGCGTGCGTGGACACGCAAAGGCTCGCGTGCAGGTTGTGTTTTCCTGCTGCACAGCTGACCTGCACAGCATCAATATAGGGGCCTGAAAATCTGCAACAGTATTTTTCCTCGATATGTAAAAATTAGTCCATTGATTTATATATATATATATATATATAGTCAGTCTAATTTTATATCAAAGCCTTATTCTAGAAGTTCAGGCCCCTATAGTATATCTTTTTGTCTGTAAAGATGAGCTGCTCCTAAGTTGCGTGACTCAGAACGTTTCTGCACCTGGGATTCCGGGGAAGACTGTCGCAAGAACAGAGGATGGAATCAAAACATGTAGACCTTCAGGTTTGCTGCAGGCCTGACGCTCGAAGTTACTCGTAATCGACTTGCAGCATGTGGGTGCATACTGTGCATGAGATAAGGCGTCAGTTGTTGCTGAGCGAGTGCTTGGGACCAGCTTTACCAGTACATGCCCATGCCCTAGCCTCCTCACATGTGTGCCAAATTTGATGGGGTTCATGGCTCAAGGGTCTATAAGTCTATAAGGACAAAGGAAATGTCCGTCGAAGAATTGCTAGGCTGCGCACGTGGAGTTTTGTGTCAGATGGTTTACATATGCCGGCGTCAGCACAGGACATTCCGGCCCAGTGAGCATCAAGGGTTTGATTTGTGCCCAAGGCAGTTCCGAAACAGACCAAGCACCAAACAAAGTCTGTGCTTCTGCGTTGATATCGGCTGGCACCATTACCGCAAGGGAGTACCTTTTTCCATCAGACCTTGCCGCTGTCATCGCCATGCCGGTGATTGGACGGAGCTTGGCCACCTTAGGCCCGAAGAGCCAGAAGAACAAGGGTCTGAAGAGATGAGACATACATCTTTCAATGTCTTTCCGTCTTCATTGCCATCATCTTGGATCATGTGTTTTTGTAAAGCCCTAGTCTTTCCGGGTTCCGGCCTTTTTGCAGACCTTCCTGCCGTGAGCGGTGGAGCTGGCCACAGGATCTGCAGAGCTGTTCCCTCAAGTGAAGTCTTGCCTAGCAAGTAGCGTGTAGCTGCAGGCAAGGCATGAGCCGGCAAATCGAATGATGTGCAGGCCTGCTTGTTCTTGCTTGCCGGGCGCAGCAGGGCGGTATATCTGGCAACTCTGGCGTTTGGCATTACATCGATGTGATGGACATCATTTGCCCTGGCAGACAAGGCCCGCAGTGGGATTTGACCCAATCTGCAAACGTCACTTTGCCACGGGCATCTTTGGTCCAACATCACCACAGGCCGTCTTCTGGAACCAAAGGAAGCCCAAGATAAGATGCCCCCTTGGATCTTCACAGACCATGCAAAGTGAGCCCGAAGTCTAAAATAACAACAGTACAAACCACAACACAGACGTTAGGAACACCTTACAATAATAAAGGGGCAACTTCAAAAACACACTATAAAAGAATCAAATCAAGTTGGGGTGTAGATAACAACTGTTTTGTTGAAAACACGACAAACATGGTGAACACCTTCACAACCAACATAAAAAGACTCCAATTTACTAAATCATTGGGGCTTAGGACAACCATTGTTCAGTTGAAAACTCCTCCGGTCACCACCCGTGTGTTCACAGGCCATGCAACGCTCTCCGTGACGCAGCCTGCCGTGCTGAGTTCTGATCCGACTATCTTTACCGTCTTTCGGACAACTATGCGGCTGGTCGAGAAGCTTCAGGGGTTTTGCTTTCTAAGTCATAAGATGCTTTGGACATTTTCTCGTACCACCAACAAGTGGGATGCAAGTCGAGCGGTGCAGGTGGGGCAGGCTGAAAATCAGAAGTGACAGCACGACGGAAGCAGTCGCAGTAAACAACGCAGGCTTCACTAGGCCCGCAAGAGACAGGAGGTTCTAGTTTCCAAACAAAACGTAAACTCAGAGCACCTTTGCGAAACAATAGGCCTCAGTTGAATCTGTCAATCTTTCAGCTTTTATCTGTGAAGCAGGGTGGTCTGGCCAATTTCAAAGGCGTCAGGGCGCATGACCAGTTGTGGTGGTTCTGCATACCTGTCGATCTGAATGAGCCACTTGTCTGGGCACTGCCCTAGATAACAATTGCAGTTGGCCCTTGCAGATGAACAAGTGTGCCGGTTTGAATCGGCTCCGCCTCATGTCATTTGTCATTCCTGCATGAGCTTCTGATAGCCCAGACAGACACATATGAACCTTGGGGCATAAAAAGCCAGCCAGCAGCAGCTCAAGCTAGCCGAGGAATCCGGTTACGCTCAGCTTCGTGGCAAGAGACGCCACTGGCCGCACCGTGGTGGACCAATCCGCGCCCATCACACTCCAGGCTGTTACCGCCCGGCCTCCCTGCTTGATTTGGCGCATCATTACCTACCGGCCGATTTGTTTCGGGAGACGGTTCCTTTCACTTCAGCCACCCAGCAGGACATTCGGCAGTCTGATAGAAGCAAGGTGCAGAATCATGTGCACGTTTCCGCAAGGATTTCCGAGCATCATGCGTGCACAGAGGAAGCAGTGCTGCACCCGTCCGAACGTGTGACTGGTGCTGATTTTTTGCTTGAATCCACCATGCCCCATGTCCCTAAAACAATCGTATACCAAGGCCCGGCCGACGGCTTGAAGAAGAAGACGAAGAGGAGGAAGAAACAAAAGACTCTTAGCTTTCAACCTTGGTCAGGAATTAAGACGAACCTGCTCACTAAGAATAAGCGTGCCTTCCCTGGTGGGTGATGCACAGAGAAATAGCTCCAGGTGACACTCAACCCCCACGTCGGAGGAAGTAGCCATGCGTGGCCTCGACAGCCGCCGCCGGAGCAGCTTCAGCTCGCCCCGACGGAGGATCTCTTCCCCTCGGCGGAGGCATCCCGGATGGGAGGGTGGCTGCCTTAGGGAGCAGCTGGCAGCTTTCTTTGTGGCAAGGGTATTGGGTTTGAATTTGAAGCGGCTCTGCGAGCCGGATGTCAGAATCAGAAAAGCTATGAATCTCCACCTGGGTGAGCGACCATGGAAAGATCATGTTATTAGTCTGTGTCTTAACCGAGCACAATTTGAAGGGGAGAGAGATCCGCAAAGGGAAAAGAGGGAGGGAGGCTGAACCCTGAATGGGATTGGAAGGACTATGACCGACAGCCGTCGCCGTGCAGTCCTCGAATCTTGCCGACCGGGATGTTTGGCGTGTACCTTCACAGTCTTGTCCACATGTTCTCTCTCTCTCTCTCTTTCTCTCTTTCTCTCTTTCTCTCTTTCTCTCTCTCTCTCTCTCTCTCTCTCTCTCTCTCTCTCTCTCTCTCTCTCTCTTCTCTCTCTCTCTCTCTCTCTCTCTCCTCTCCTCTTCTCTCTCTCTCTCTCTCTCTCTTCTCTCTCCCTCTCTCTCTCTCTCTCTCTCTCTCTCTCTCTCTCTCCCTCCCTCTCTCTCTCTCTCTCTCTCTCCCCTTCCTCTCGTTAAGGACAGCCGTCGACGTGCTGCAGATACTTCTCCGCGCCGCCGAGTCATGAATCACGGCTGCCAAGTATTGGCAGATGGACGGATTTGTTGCAGGTTTGGGGCCGTGAGGTGGGTGACTTCACGCTAGATCTTCAGACAAGTCTCGGAGCTTATTAATTACGTGGCTCGATCTGCGTTGCTGGCATTTTAGATTTTCATTCGACGATTTCGGTCGAAACAAACGGCGAATGATGAGCCGTCAGCAGGATGAGGTTTATGTACGTATGTATGTATGTATATATATAATATTATATGTATATGCATGCTTACATCTGTACAAGCAGGCCCGTGTAGGCACAGGTAAATGACTTCACAACCCGGCGCCCTACCCCATTCATTTGTACTGCTATTTGCGTCGCAGCAAGGTTTCTTGTTGGCGATGTTTTGCAAGATGGCCTGACAGACTTGCCACCTTTCTAAGAGACTAAAAGACGCGAGCATGGAGCGACATTTTGCTATTTAGACGTTTGATATTTGATCACAACAAAATGCTGTTGTTATTGTTGTTGCTGCTGCTTGTTGTGTGTGGTGTTGGATTGGAGAGCAGCCGTCTTCCATTCAAGCAAGAGGCCAGAGACATATTCCTCTCAAACATATGCAAGACAATGCAGGATGGCCATGGCCTACGCGCTTGTTGTTGCTAGTCGCGTTTCACACATACTTGGGCAGCTGCAAAAGTATTTCTGCTAGGACGATAAATTGCATGGACTTGGAGCTAAGGGCCGACACTCGAAGAAGATCGTCGTTCTTCTCCCCGCGCCGCCGCAGAGGCGCAAATCGATCGGCAAGACACCTCAAGACAGAGCACATGTTGAAGAGGGCAGGTTTAGGATTTAGGGTTCAGGGTTTTGGGCTGGGTATTCCGAATTCCCAACGGCTGCGTGAAGAAGGGAGACTGCGCTGACCAATGGAGTGTTTCCTGGTCTCTTCCAGCACTGTGAACGAGCAGTAGAGTAAAACTGCGACGCCTAGAAGCAAATTTCCCCTCGCAACTTGCCGAAAAACCACCAAGTGCCAAAGTTTTGTGACATGGACTTGGGGAAGTTCAGGGAGCTGTCCTTGACGTCGACCCGGCCTTGCCTTCAAAAGATTGGCCTGCACTTGAGCTTCCTGATATCCTTGTACAGAAGTGAAGAAAGCACTATTTTCACACAGATGTTCTGCCCGCGGCCGGAAAGGTGGCAGCGGTAGCTTCGTTCCCAACAATCATTACTCCAACCCGCTGAGCCCAAGCATTGGGCACTACGGCCACGTGGAGACAGAATACAGTACCGCATGCGATCAGGTTGTGAGACTCATTGAGGGTGATTTGCTTCAGGTCGTGGGGTCTCACCTGGCCGTTGCCGTTCTCTCTGTTGGGCCTCAACTCAGTGCTTTGTGGTTGTTTCGGGGTCTTTCTTGACATCGCTGCAGACAGGGTATGAAATTCCTATTCCAGCACCTGCCGTCCGCCTGAAGTAAACGGGCTTTGTGTTGGGCTGCAGAGCGGTTGGAGGCCACAGATGCAGTTCGTCATGTCATCTTCCTGATCGCCCGCCATCGGAAAAGATAATGAGCCTGGACTGTGAGGTTCCACCTGTGCCACTGTAGACTGCGTACTGGTGCTACTGCTGGCGTTTGTGCTGTTTGTCCATTGAGGCTACACCAACCCAAACTATGCGTACCACAACTATGGCGGGCACATGCCCATGAGCACCGCAGCAGCATGGAGGAATCGATAGCGCAGTTCGCTTTGTGGCGACGGCAATCGGGCTCATGCTCGTGGCGCTGCCCACTCCAAGGGTCTGAGAGCCAAAGCTGCATGCCTGTGGCTACAGCTTTTAGGATGTCATGCTCCTCTGCAGGATTTTACTCCCAGCACCGAAGGCACATCATACGGCTACACGGGTGCCAATGCCTACAGCTCCGGGAGTGGCATGAAGATTGCCTTGGCTGGCGGTGCTGGAATTTTGGCAGGCCCGCCGAGGGAAGGGTGTGCCGAGATGCGACGATCTAAGGAAAGATGGAGCCAGGCTCCGCTTTAGGCGAAATCAGACGTTGCTTCATGTTGCTCCGCCTGATGAGTGTAGCGAGTGTAGTGCATTGAAAGCAACCTCACGGCAGAACCGCAGCTAGGTCGCTACATGGCCGAAAGCCGTGGCATATGAGATTGTGAAGACTACGAGGCCCCCTTTTATGTCTATGTGTAGGTTCATCAAACCTATTATATATCTGATCGGGCTGCTTGGACCCTTCTTTTTCGTCAGGCCTAGCTACCAGCCACCTGCTTCATCATTACGGCGGGTCCAACTCTGGCAACCCGGTTCAACGAAGCCCTGGAATGTTGATCGCACTTCGAGTGGTTCACAATGGGATAGTATGTTTGAAGGGTTGGGGCGAGTTTGACAATAATCACAGTGCATTTAGGGTCTGCACATAGTCTATTACAGTTTGTTAGGGGTGTCAGCCAGGTGAAAAGAGCGGAGGCAAAAGCCACAGCCCACGATGGACTATCTATTTGATCAGACAGCCCTGGAACAACTGGAACAATCCTAAACCCCTAAGCCCCAAACGCTACACCCTCACCTAAAGTCTAAAGGAAAGACGATGTTAACTTCGAAGCTCGAAGGAGATGCCTTTCGTCGGTCGGGGTCGGAATAGTTCTCTAAAGCTGCCCCGTCAGAGTTCCCATGCGAGAATCATAGAATCATAGTCATAGTACAAAATCCCCGTCCCCACAAAGAAAGCTTTCGTATTCTACCAGCCCAGACACCTTATTTAAGGGCGTTGGGGTCCTTGCTTCGATGTGGTCGAAACTCAAACCCTATTCGCTCAGGAGGCTACACGCATGCCCAGATGATGCAGCAGGACTGCACCTACGGCTCATGGTCAGGAACGTGTGCTCCGGACCGCATGAAATTCCAGGGAGTCTTGCTCTGACTGCCTCCAAAATCCCAAGCCCAGCCGCTCGGTCTTGGCTGAGGGGCAAGCTCGTCTTCTTGTGTAGATTTCGCTAGCCGAGAAAGCTCCATTCACGGTGATGTGCATTTGTGTTTCGCTGTAGGGTAACAAGCAGGTACAGTACTGTCGTGGACGGAATAGTGGTATATAGCCGACTAACCATGCCTTTGAGAGAGATGCAAGGTAACTCCTGCTATTCGCAATACGGAGCCAACCGCTGCGCCTTGAGCATCTCGCCCAACTTCGATGCAACGCGAGTCGCTGGGCACGAACTAGCTCAAGTTTGACCCTTTCTTTGCTTATAGCTGGACTTTTTTGTGTGGGTCTTGACACACAAGCTTCGACCAGAGCTGTACACCTACCTTCCATCGGAAGCAAAACTGTTGCTGAAAAGTCAATGAATCTGCCGATTGCCACAGCAAGCCGTCTCCCACGGATTTTTCCAGAATCTTGAAGACTTGAAGACTCCAGTTCGAATCCGAAATTCGCCGAAGCCTGCTCTTGGCACATCCGTGTAAGGACGACCTGATGAGCACGGGATTCATCCCGACGCAGGTTTCCTGGCCCCTGACGGTGACAGTTACATCTGTCAGCGGTGCCCTGGACTTCGATAAAGGCCCGGGCCGGTAGACTTCAGATTTCGGCTTCACCCCCATCCTGCCGTGACAGTGTTCACTGTGGGCGAAGCTAGACACATACTGCAAAGAAAATGGGGCTTGCAGTACTCTCGCACAGTGGGGGGTCTCCAAAAGATCTGATGGACAAACAGTCTCCAGTCTTTGACTTAGCCCATCTCGGAAGCATGTTGATGTTCTCATGCCTGTAGCCACTGTAGCATCTTGGCCGTAACCTCCTCTAAGGGCCATGAAACCCTGTAGCTTCAGCATGCTTTAACCTGACAAAGTTTCGAAAAATAAACCGCAAATGCAGGAGGTTCACGCAGATCCGAAATGCAGCCTGTAATTAGCCCTCACGATCTTACAACTCGTTACTGCTTTGGCCAACTGCATGAGTAGGATCTTGAGAGTGCAGATTGATCATGCAAGCACTGTCATTTTACGCGTGGGTGATCTCTGCTTTGATGAATGCGTCATGAACACTCCCTATATGTACGTCTCACTCAACAGACTCCGATCCATATGCCTCGCCGGGATTGTCCGAGTGAGCTCTGAAACCCGAACCTCCTGGTCTGCAGAGTCCGAGCTGACCGCGTCCAAGCCCAAACCACCAAAAACCCAGGAATCGACTTCAATCCCGCCAGCGTTTGCCCACTTACGCCGGACAGCGACCCTTGATCCGCTAAGAGGGTGTTGGGCGTTATATTGGATTTTTAGGGCTCTTGGAGTCTATGACTGGGACGAAGTCGGAGATCTACTATAAGGCCTTCGGGGGTTAAACTTCTTCGGGGCTGGGAGTTTGCAGATGTAGGGTTGACAGCTAGAGGATGCCGGACGAGTCACCTTCATGTAGTTTGCTAAATCATTTGTTGTATCTACTATTTGTCGGACTTATCCACTCTGTTACCCGTTTGTTCATATTTATCCCCTAGCTTACATGTTTGTGTGCTCATTTGTTCACTTGTGTCAGCGCCGTTTTTCCAAAATGTTCATGTGTTATTTCATACATCATATGCTTGTGTGCTTTGTGCCTTACCTGGGCAAATAGAAGTGATTCTAACACGCTCAAGACGCTTTTCTATGCAGACCCCTTGAAGTCCATGCAGTTTCGAAGTGCTGCCATGCCTGCGGACGAAATGCCAAGGCCGGGAACCCCTCGATGGCTCGCCTCTTCCTGACCACCACCTCACTGGGCATGGGGTCCTCGGGAGGAAATCCAGGCCTACAATAGGGGCCTAAATAGGTAGCAGTACTGATGCAGGGGTTCCTTATTGCATACTTCATTTGCTTCATTTGCTACAACGTAATGTAACATCCCAGAGGCTGCAAGGAGGAGCTTTTCAACTCCAACGCACTTCAGGATTCTCTCTGAGCGATGATTGGGATGTCCCAGACATAGGATCAGAGGCCGCTGGCCGGCCTGTTCGGCTTCTTGCAGTAGCTCAGGAACCAAAAACCACCCAAACATAAACTCGTGTGTGTGCGCGTGTGTGTGTGTGTGTGTGTGTGTGTGTGTGTGTGTGTGTGTGCGTCGAATATCCCTGCTTCATCTCCTTGCATAGAGCGGGATGATGGGATATCCCAGCCTCATGTTTTCTTGCCTTGATGCTTTTCTGGGTCCATACTTATTGCAGGCCTGGCTTTGTGAGGCGATCATCGGGGAATCGTTTGAGGAAGGTCCACGACGCTGTTGCCAGGCCCTGGGTATAGTCCGCAGCCCAACTATGGGCAGCAGACCAACTATGGCCCGGTGCAGTCGAGCAGCTCGAGTGGCAGCGGCTTCTTTGCCGCATCCTGCTCGCATTAGCTGCGGTTTACCGATAAGTACGTGCGCTTGAACCGATTGGGGATCTGATCACACACCGAACCCCCTCCCCCCAGTGAAATCGCTGGTGAAGATCCCTGCACCGCAACAATGAGATACTGCATTTCAATGTACCAAATTGCTGCAGCTGCAACGACCACAACTGCCACATTGCCTCTCTGTGTACAGAGCCCTCTGCTGAGCTTTGCTACAGCATAAACAGCCAGACGGATCAGCTCTTCGTGTGTAGCTGGGATTCGAGAGATCCGCGAGTTTGAAGTGTATCACCTCATCAGTCTTGCAACCCTGATGCCAGTGGCTCGGCACCGTTTTGGCCCTCTGCTGCTGCTGCGGCTTCTGCGTCTGCTGCAGCTGCGCGAGCGGCAAAAAGCACCTCGGAACCAACTTGGTTTCGGTCTTTCTGAGCTGAGACTTCGGCTACAAGAGGGTGCCGACGTCGCCAGTATGTAGCATACACCTCGACTTGACCGTCACCGACTGCTTTTCTTGCTAGGAGCCTTCATCCCACGCTCTCCCGATCTAGCAGCCCGTGGAGCATCGAGGGCTTTAGGGAATCATGCATCAAGGCATGATTTTGTTTTGGTCTCAAGAGGATTGAGGTGAAGAGGTTTAGGATTTGTATAGGTGTTTGGGGAGCTATCTGTTGTAGGGTGGAGGTATCGAGCCGGGGGCGGGGTTGCGTTGTGCGGGGTTACAACTACGTATGCACTGAGTACAAGTTTTCCTGCAAGCAAAAAAGTAGGACTGCCCTGCTGGCGCCACGTACTGGCAGAACCAAGAGGTCGCACTTGCCCCGGCCTTCCTGGCATGTATGTACAAAGGCCATCCAAGTGGGGCTTTTCTGGTGACTCCTCTTCGAGCGATTCAGTGACCTGGCATGTTCAGCGTTTCCTGCTGCAAGACTTATTCGAGGACGTGGTGACGTGGTGTCTGCAGCTTCTAGCTGCAGCTTGCGCAGGGTCTGCATGGCGATGCTTACATGTTCGGGTAAGATTCGAACGTGGTGTGAACCCGGCACTCAAAGCCGTTGCATTTCTAACCCTTCATTTTCGTCGCTGCCTCAAACCACATAAATCGGAGGACAAAACAGTTGCTGATGAATTGATCTTGCACTTAAAGTATACCGCCGGATGGGACCAGCAAGACAGCTGAAGCTCACAAGCCTCAAAAAAGATACACCCCGGCCCAGGGCAATCTGAATGAGTTTCCCTTTCGCTCGCCTTCTCCTGCACCTGAGGACGAGTCAGTGCAGATGGTCCACCATGGTGGTCACAACCCTTATTGGCACGGCCAGGCAGCGGACACTGGAACAGAAACCTCTTTAATGTTTAATTGTCAGAATAGGCTTAGCAATGACCGATGATAGTCGGAGAAACATTCGAAGATGAGAAGGCTCGCCTGGAGTGTAATGGGGTCACAACGTTCTGTAAAGCCTTAGCTGTGTGCCAGTGAAACTCGAAGGACTCCGTCGTAGCGGTCAAGCCCGCCTCCTTCCTACGGTCTGGGCTTGCCCAGAGCCCAAAGGGGCTCCAATAATTCGAATGAGTTCAGTGTTATATGTGAGCAGTGTTATATGGGGACTATACATGAATCCTATTTGTAAGTCCCCAGCCTCGCGAGAAGGCTCCGGCTCCGGCACCGGCCCAGACCAACACGGCCTTTATGGACACGGCGGCCCCAGGCGGCGCGACTTGGGCCAACTACTGCCGCTGGATCCTGGATCTTGGCACTTGTTTTCCTTTCTTCTCGATGAATCCTTTTCTTGTGCTGTTGTCACGTCGTCCTCAGTCTGACGGGGCCTAGATTCGACACGGTCGCTTCCATTAATGGTGGCCGGATGCTTCCTATACAAGTTACTTGTACCGCCCTGGTACGTGGGTTCGTCCTTGCTAAAACAGGGTTGAGCTGTAAGGTTTTTTAGGGGAAGTGGTGAAACCGTTTTCGTGTGAGCTGATTAACTGCATTTGCTAAAACAGCTTGCCTCCACCTGCCGGTCGTTTATCTTTTTTGCTAAAACAGCTTGGGTCCACCTGCCGGTCGTTTATCTTTTTGGTTCAGCCGTTCCATTAAGTGAGGGAGGCTGGGGGCCCCAGTCCTCCTCACTTAACGGGACGGTCGTAAAGGGCAGGATCCATACATAGGGAGGGGGAGGGGGGGGGCAGGGCGGCACGTAAATCCTCACTTGGGTATTAAAACCTTAAGGCCCCAATAGCCCACATATCTCAACAACCCTTACTACCAACAGCCCGCCGGTTGTAATTAATGCTTGTACCCCCAAACTCAAAGCCTAAAATAAATAACACAGAAGATGAAAACCATTAACCTTCAAGCCCTACAGCAATACCCCTAAACTCAAGCTTGCCGGTCGAGAAGATCATCCTGACGCCATGGGCCGGATGCCCCAGTATGGGGTTTGGGGTTTAAGTTAGGCTAGTGGTTCAGGGTGTTTTAGTGTGGTCGGTCGAGTGATTTTTTGCGTTGTTTGGATCGGGTGTGGGTTAAAGGATGTGGTTTCGGATTTGCTGGTAAGGTTGGAGTTTGCATTTGCTTCGGATTATTTAGGATTGGGTTTTTTAGGTCGGTCGGCACCCTGAACCCTAAGGCCCTAAGCCCTAAGTCCTCAAACCCCCCTCGTCGGTCACGTTCGTGATGCAGCAGCTGGCCGGTCGACTTCGGTCCCGGTGCTGCTGTTGCTGAGTTGAGCTTGCCGGTCGACTTCGGTCCCGGTGCACTCCTGGGCTTGCCGGTCGACTTCGGTCCCGGTACTCAGGCATGGCACAGAGCTCGCTGTGTGACTCCGGTCCGCAGTGCTTTGTGCCACATCGCTTGCCGGTCGACTTCGGTCCCGGTGCACTCCTGAGCTCGCCGGTCGACTTCGGTCCCGGTACTCAGGCATGGCACAGAGCTCGCTGTGTGACTCCGGTCCGCAGTGCTTTGTGCCACATCGCTTGCCGGTCGACTTCGGTCCCGGTGCACTCCTGAGCTCGCCGGTCGACTTCGGTCCCGGCGCTCAGGCACGACACAGGGCTAGCTGTGGGACCCCGGTCCACGGCGCCCTGTGTCACATCGCTTGCCGGTCAACTTCGGTTCCGGTGCACTCCTGAGCTCGCCGGTCGACTTCGGTCCCGGCGCTCAGGCACGACACAGGGCTAGCTGCGGGACCCCGGTCCACGGCGCCCTGTGTCACATCGCTTGCCGGTCGACTTCGGTCCCGGTGCACTCCTGAGCTCGCCGGTCGACTTAGGTCCCGGCACTCAGGCAGGACACAGGGCTAGCTGTGGGACCCGGGTCCATGGCGCCCTGTGTCACATCGCTTGCCGGTCGACTTCGGTCCCGGTGTGTTTGTGCAGGGCCTGCAGGACGCGGATTTTTGCCGGTCGACTTCACGTCTGCAAACCACCGCCTGAGGCCTGACCTATGGTTGGTCACGTGTCTTGTCGGTCGCGACGAGGGTGGCTTGCTGGACCCTCAGTTGCAATGTGCAGCCGCAAGACAGAAAGCTCTGCTCGCCCAGGCCACCATCAATCGAGCACGGTTTGTCTGTGTGGCTCTGAGATTTTGGGGGCAGCCGGTCAGTCGAGCCGATGATGCACAGACAGACACAGGCCCATTTTGTCGTCTTCTGCCTGCCGGTCCAAGCTTGGCCCTAAGTCATAGGTTGTCCCTTCTTCACATTCCAGATACCAGATGTAAGCTCGTGCAGGGCTCCTTGCTGGAGGAGGACATTGACTGCTGGGGGCTGAGGTTTCGAGTCACCCAGTTGTGTGACTCCTGACCTCTCTTAGTCTTGCAGGCGCTTCTCATCGCCTAGCCGGTCGCCAGCTGGGGTTTGAGGTGGTACGTTGTCCCTGCAGCTCCAGACTCCAGATGTAACGTAAGCTTACGCAGGCTTGCTTTATTTCGCTGCTGCTCGCTGGCTCAGGCCTCCTGACCAGCAGATACGAGATGCGTGGAATTCCATGCTAGCAAGGCAGCAGTGATATCGTGCGCAACCGCGTCCGGGCAAAAGTGCACCGTAACAGATCAAGCAAAGGATGCAGATTTCAGAGTAGCAGCCAAATTTCAAACAGGGAGGGCTCAGTGCAGTGAGTCAGGGTTTAGGGTCAAGGGCCTCAGGGTATTTAGAGTTCAGTTTCATTCTTTGTGGTTTGAATACGGTTTCGGCTCGATGGCTGTAGATTGCTTGCTGGTTGAGTGTATCGTTGACTTGTGATTTCAAATGCTCTCGAGAGTCTGCCTGTTCTGAGGGTTGGTTTTTGACGGGTGCCAGCAGGCATTCTATGATTGATGGTCGATGGCATTATCAGTGCTGGGGGCTGAGGTTTTTTTAGTCAGCAATGTTTTCTGACCTACGATGCTGATGCAGGCTCGTCTGGTCGCGTTGCCGGTCGATGCTGGGGCCTAAGGTAATAGGTTGGCCGGTGAGTTCCAGATGTAAGCTTGGGCAGGCCTTCGCCGGTCCGGGAGGTGAGCTGGGGGCTGAGCTTTGGAGTCATGATTATTATATCTCGTGCATATTCTCGCCCAGGTTCCTGTGATTTTTCTGGCCGAGTTGCCGGTCGGTGCAGGAGCTGAGCACAAAGATGCTTTCAAGTTTGTGCTTGATTGTCGGCTTTATGTCCTTCAGGTGCTGGAGGGAGCATCTCGCATCTCGTGATGCGCCGGTCGTCGACAACGTACCGGCTGAGGACTCTGTGCTTTGCAAGTGAAGTGCTCCACAGCTTTACTCGCAATTGCCGGTCACCAGCCACTTCTGTCAAGTGTGCTGAACACATGGTTGGCAGCCAGGCGACATGAACATAACGTCGGTCAGCATTGAAGTGTGTGTTGTGTTTCACATTGTAATAAGTAGTGCCCTCCATTCACGTGTTGGTCGCCATGGCAGATGCCGATGATGAGGATAGGAAGAAGGACAAGAAGGGCGACGACAAGGCCAGGGACAGGAAGACGGTCGGCAGGCACAAGAAGGACAAGAAGGGTGACAAGGAGGCCAAGGACGAGAAGCCGGTCGCAAAAAAATCCAGGAAACAGGTCAGGGAGGAGAAGAAGAAGAAGAGATCAGCCGAGGCGGTCGCAGAGCTCCTGACTGAGGTGTCTGAGGAGGGCGATACCGAGTCGGTCGGCAAGGCGGATGTTGAGCCGGCTGAGCCTGCAAGTGGCAGTGCTGCTGATCAGCCGGTCGCTGAGCCTGCAAGTGGCAGTGCTGATCAGCCGGTCAAAAAGAAAGGCAGCAAGTTCCAGACGCCTGACCCCAATGTCGCTTGGCTAAACTAGCTTGTCGGTCGATTCCAGCTGACTGACAGACTGTGTCGTGTCTGTGCAACTAAGAGCCGGTCCCAGCAGAAGAAGCGGACCTTCATGGAGTTTTGCTTCGAGAAGAAGAATAACAGGAAAACCACGAAGCCGGTCGATGATTGCGAGGCTTGGCTTGCAATACCACATGTTGTCATCAGGTGCAGTTGAGGTGCAGTTCAGGTGCAGTTCAGGTGCAGTTCAGGTTTCGAGATTGTATACATTGGTGCTGTTCAGGTGCAGGTCAGGTGCAGTTCGGGTGCAGTTCAGCTGTGTATATCTTATGTTGTGTGTGTCAAGATGTTGATTTGTGCAGGAACGACGTGGCCATGGCGGCTTTATGCCTTCTATGCCTTCTATGCCGCCGGTCCGCCCGGCGTCGTCACTGCCGCCTCTCCTTCCGCCTCCACTTCCGCCGTTGCCACCTTTGCCATTGCCCTTCCCGTCGGTCCCTCCGCTTACGCCTATTCCTCAGCCTCAGCCGCCGGTCGATGCTTCTGGAACAGTGCAGATGGCCCATTCAGATCTTCGGCTGATTTATTATTTAGTTGGTTGACTGACTGATTATCCTTGACCTGAAGACCTGTTTGTATGATTGGCCGGTCGAGAACAACCGAGATCTCAGACCTGCTCAAGAAGCAGGAGTCGTTGCAGGATCAGATGGTCGCATGGAAACAGATCAGCTTTCATTGGAAGGAGGCAGTACCTTTCACAGCAGCTATCATAGTGTCAGCTGTGTTGGGCATTGGGTGAACTTGGAATTGATAACGGTCGGTGCTGTGCCACTTGGCCCAAGGCATATGGTCGGTCGCCGATGTGGCAGGCAGAGAATGTGGAGAGTCGACTGACTGGCGGTCCTGGTGCCACTTGTCTGTGTGAGGTGTCATTTGTAATGCTTCCGTCGGTCATATACGAAGTCCAAGGTTGAGCCACCTGCCCGTCATCAAGGAGTCGCTGCTCAACGTTCCACCAGTCCACTGCCTGGTGCTCAACGTCCCGCCGGTCCGGCGCAGCCGTTCACTCCTGCAAGGCCCAATCCAGCCGCTGTGCAGCAGCAGCAGCCTCGGCCGGTCAGTGCGCAGCAGCAGCCTCCCATGATGGCCCCTGCGCAGCAGCAGCAGCAGCAGCCTCGGCCGGTCAGTGCGCAGCAGCAGCCTCCCATGATGACCCCTGCGCAGCAGCAGCAGCAGCCTCGGCCGGTCAGTGCGCAGCAGCAGCCTCCCATGACGGTCCCTGCGCAGCAGCAGCCTCCCATGACGGTCCCTGTGCAGCTCCAGCGGCCGGTCGGTCATCCACAAAGCTTTGGCCCTGCCAATATTCCTCCAACACCTGGCCGCCCACAGCGGTAGTGAGTGGTGGGCCGGTCGACTGAACTGGTTTCCAGGATGCCCTCAGGTCCCTCCTCTAGGCGCT